ATTTTCAAATATTTTAAATTAATATATTGTATTACTTAATAGGTTTCATTTTCAAATATTTTAAATTAATATATTGTATTACTTAATAGGTTTCATTTTCAAATATTTGATATTAATATATTGTGTTACTTAATAGGTTTCATTTCAGTTTTGAAAATGTTAAGACATTTTTATCAATTTAGACAATCACATCAAAAAATGATCCACAGGGAAAAAAAACACCACCACTAACTTAAGTTTTTTAAGCTCAAGTCATCTTGTACAACTAATGCTTTTAATGTTATAACCAGTTTTCGGACTTAGGTTTGCTTTGGGTGAAAACTGAAAAGATTACAAGTCCATTACTATAATTTGATGCTAACTATACTCGTAAACTTTTCATTAAAACTCTTAAACAATGTAATCTGTTTACACTAGTTTTTATTCACTGCAAACAATAAATCTTTTATTAACACATTATGGACAAATGGAATGTCATTGATATCACTTGATTTTTACTTTCTTACATCAGAAATACTTAACCACAGTACATAAAACATAGAACAAATTTACCAAACAATTTCTAGCTTGGCTTAAAAAATTCATCCAGTTTGATTAACTTCTATAATTGTTTTACATTGTGAAGTTTAACAAATTTTGTTGTGAGACACCTTTAAAAAAAAACAATTAAAAATTCTTCTTTTTGTCTTCATATTTAAATTTATTTTTATTGTTGATCAGAATATTCCATTTCATATACACTCAGACCATCTAAACTTGACTGACAGTTATTTAATATCTTTATTTTACTGATTTCAGTAGTCACCACTTCTGAATATAAATCTTAAAAAAACATGGAGAAAAACTGACAAATCTTATCTTTTACCTATGACCCGATCTTTTACCATTTACTCAGGCTAGGTAACATTATTCTTAGCCCGAGATCAATTTATATGTAAAATATATAGTTCTTATACAATAAATACTAATTTTGCTTACTTATTTACAATGTTTGAATATGAAAATGTACAAAGCTTTAAAACAAATAAACTAAACACCAAAATGTTTTCAGGAATCACAAGAACATCTAAATAAAGGGAACTTTAACAGATTTGTGGTTTTCCCCCCAAGTTTTCTAGCCTTCCCATTAAATTCATTTGTTCACACCAATGTGGTCACTTTCCCACAAAACCATAAGTTAATGTTCACATTACTTTATGTACTCTACATTAACATAAATAGTTTATAACTGACTAAAAATAAATACGAAGCCCCATCTATTGTTCAATTTTACTACTTGTGATTGAGTTAAACCATTTTCAGAGAATTCCACCCCCTAATCAATAACCCTGGACAAATCTGAATCAAAAGTGTAAGACTAGACATCCAGTACAGAACTTTAAAAAATACATTCCCTGACCTACTGCTCGGGAATCACTTCATTAACAACTTTAAATGAATTATTTAGCTTATATACCAGACATATTAGCTAGCCAAGACATTTCTGTTAGTGATTACTGGACAAAAAAAAAAGACTTACAAAAAAATTCCTTGACTTTAGCCATTTTCTAAATTCCCCCC